GGGGTGGGGGGTGGCGTGTAATGGAGGGTTATTAAGGGCTTTACAGGTCCAGCTCACACCCTCCCTCCCACACAGTATACTTTGTGCCCCGTCTCCGCGCCGCGCCGGGCGACCTTTGGCGCGCCGGGCCGTAATCACGGCTCGATTAGCGATTAGCGCCTCCGGGAATGGCATGTTCTCTCGCGGATAAATCAATTCACCGGCCGCCTACGGGCCACCTCGCGGCTCGCGGGCTACGAACCTCTCTCTCTCTCTCTCTCTCTCTCTCTCTCTCTCTCTCTCTCACAGCAGTGGGTACGGTGTATACCTCTCGGCCGCGCTCACAACCCGTTCTACGGCGACGTTTCCCAGAGGGAGGGCGAGGGGAGTCGCGCGGCGGGGGGCAGTGTCTAATTGAAACTGCAGGGTGGCAACAGCGCCAACGTCGCTGCTTGGCTTTCACACGGTGAAAAAAACAAAACAAAAACGTCCCTTGGATTTCAAGACCCGATCTTGATGTCCAATGGTGTTCCTTATAAGATCCAAAACCCGGTCTAGAAATTCGAGAATTTTTTTTCAACAGTGCGAGGTCTCTTGGACTCAGGCCCTGCTGGTGAACATGCCGCCCGCATGCACTTCTCTTCACCGACTGTTGTACTGCCATTGCCGCTTGTCCGTCGTTTAGCGGCCGGATGTAAAGCCCCGAGCACTCGACATTTCGCACCAAGGACGCGCAGTCCAGGCGGCCTTGCCAGACCCTCGCCAAGTCCGGAAATGATACGCTGGGCAAAATAAAAATAAAAAAATGTTTGGCTTGTGTTTGGCCTTATAATCTTCTCCCCCCCACTTCCCTGTTTGTATTAAATCTTTGGTCTCTTTGGCCACCTGCTGATCCCCGGCAGGCCGGCCAGCAGGGCTGGCTAATAAGTCCAAGGCAGGGCGCTAATGGAAAGTTCTGGTTCGTTACGCCCCCAAGCCCGATGCTGTGCCGTCCCCGAGCTGTGCGCCCCGCTGAGGACAGTGCGCAAATCAATTTCCTGCGAATAAAAACCAGCAGTGTACCACTACCCCGTGAGGTATCACCTCGGACATGTTATCCCTCTTTTAGGCATGAAAACTGAAATCACCCAAAAAATATATCCAACGATGGTGTAATCCAACGAAGTGTAAGGGAAGATAGTGTGATAACTTTTTATCGCAAGTTTTTGATAAATGTTATAACAGACCCGGTTGCCAAACTTTCGCGATAAAAAGTAATCACTTTTTACGTTAAAATTTTCCATTACACCAGTAGGTTTCTTTGGGATAAAATTGTATGACGTCCTTTTTCGTCCTTTAAAGCGATAAATCGAAGGTCTCTCAAAACACAAGTAATGGCATAAATTAGGGTTAACTTATCGCGAATCCAGATTCAGAGGAGACTGTTCTACTGTTCTTTTCCGAAAAGGTTGGGCGGGGCGGGTGTCAAGCCGACCTTTTTACCTTCGCCTTTACATGAGCCGATGAGGGGTCCCGTCGTGTCGTTGCGGCGCGTGCCCGGGACCTCGGCTTCCTTCTTCCGCCTGATCCTCTGTGACACGCGTGGCGCGCCCACAGCCTGCCGGGGCCCCCCGAGGTGGACTCGCGCTAAAAGATGCATGACGGTGATCCACGGGGATAACGGCGGGGAGCCGAGCCGATCAGGACACGGGGCCTTGGAGGGGCTCTAGCACAGGAGCCGACCGCCATTAGGACGAGCCGAGCCCTCGGCCGAGCCCACTCCGCCACGCCAGGCCGCAACCTTGCGCTTTAAAGCCTTAGGGTCGTGTTACAGATACAAGGGGTCGTTTTCGACGTCTGTCCTCTGGCATGGCAAGACTACAGAATCCCGAGTTTAATGTTTGCGAGAAAAGTGACTTCTGTTCTTCTTTCGGTTGGTTAACAGCACAGCAAGTCGGGGTCGGGGGTGACCTCCTGCCCTCCCTCCCGTCCCCGCCCAGTCGCTTCCGGTCACATCCGGACACTTCCGGTCCACGCTTGCGGCCTCCAGTGTGCTTGTGATTGGGTACAGCTGTATAAGCAGCCCGCCTCCTTGACCCTGTTGCCGTATCTTGGCGTATTCGGCAGTGGCGTGCGGGAGGATGACAGCACACGAAACCATTAAGAAGATACAACTAAAGGGTTGTGAAGAACAAAATTAATTTCGAAAACCATTAGGATTTAGCACTCGTTTTTTAGACAGTCCCCTAAAGACTGTCTTTACCAGAGGGCAAAGTCCTAACCCCTCTCCTCACTCTCTATTGAAGTAAATGTATTCGAACCAAATCAAAATCAATTTTGGATACAAGCAGCTAAAATTGTATTGGTTTTGAATTTGGTCTGCCGGACTGAAGGGTTTTTGTGTGTGCATACACTATAGTCTTATGAACTTCTACGTTCACAGCCTATGAATTTATTAAGTTATCTGTTCATATTGGCGAGTTAAAAAAACGCGTAAGCGGTATATGTACACAGAAATCCGCAGAAATCCGTAAGCTACAGATAAGATTTAAGTGTCGCCGCACAAAATCACGCGGCGCGTCCGGGGCGTCCGAGGCCCGGAAGCGGCATCCTTTGGGGAGGATCGGGAAGCAAAAGAAGGACGTCGAAAGTAAAAGGGATCTTCACCGCCCCCCCCCCTTTTCACCCAGAGTTTGAACCCGTCCCGGTTCCATCCAGTGGATGGCAGCGCGGAGCCCCACACGTCAAAACTGTTCCCCCAGTGCCGCCACCGTGCCCGTCCAGCAACGTGACCGGCGTGATGAACGCGCTGTTGTGTTGGTGGGAGCGAGGTGGAAACAGGGGGCGACAAGGAGAGAGGGAGGAGAGAGAGAGATAGAGATATGAGAAATGTCAGAGAGCAGCACACGGGGGAATGGGCGGGGAGCACAAGACAACGATTTTTCAAACGCACCACACCCAGAACACCTGCTGTTCACACTCCCCCACCCTTTTTTCTTTGATACTCCTCAAGGGTTGGTTGTAATAGGACTTTCCGTAAGCATTTCGTCCTCTAGGGTTGAACCCTAGGATAACTTGAATATTTCAAGTTTCTTGCTCATCTCCTTGGAATGCAACAGAAAAACACACAGACAGCAGCAGGTCGTTTGCATAACCCTGCTGCTATTGATTGCTGGCATTCGATTTAACGACTGTTTTTCTGTCATTACCATTCACAAAAAGTTAAATATGGCCTACAGAGCAACATAGCACGCCAAATACTTTTAAAGAAAATTATAAAAATTTTGGCAGTATGTGGGTTGGCATGTGCTGGGAGCACCACGAGAAGGTTCATGAGTCATTATAGTAGAGCGCCCGTGTTCATTCTCTGCCATGGCCAGCGTGACCTCCAGCCTCCAACCCAGTCGCTCCATGGACCCTTCCGGAACGCTCATGGCCCGAGCTGCAACAAGTTTGTGGCGAGAGAAGACAGGCACGCAAGGGCGGCGGGTCGGAGGAAGAAGATGGCACCCTGTAGATGAGACGGGAGGAAAAGAATTGGAGAAAGGAGGGGGAAGTCCGAGATACTGTGCAAAAGAGGTTCTTATTGCTTTTATGATGTTTATAATAGTGAGAGGAATTATTGTGATATAGTATCGCACTCATTAAACGAACGTCAGATCAGTGATAAGCCCAAGTGAGATCGCAGGGTAGAGTCTCTCCCCTTTTCCCCCACCCTCTTTGCCCACGTCTATACCCTCCACTGTGAATCACCGCGCGCACATTTTTATTGGCCATTCAGGAGCCCATCTGACCTTGGTCCGGAGGTCTTTTGCAGCCCACGAGGCACCCGGCCCCGGGCCCCCGCCAGGGTCGCCTCAGGCGTGCGCAGCGAGCAGCCCCCATTGTTACATGCCTTACACTGATGAACCAAGTGTTCAACACTTGCCCACTTTCTTGCCTTTGGGGCAACGTACCACCGAAACTGGGTGGATGCACTCCAAACCCAGCCGAAAATTCCGGTTACGGTTACGGCCAGAATTTACGATTACGGCCGGAATTTTGTACGGTTACGGTCAAAATTTACGATTACGGCCGTAATTTGCTCCGGTTACGGTTAAAATTTACGATTACGATCGTAACCGTAGTCCGATTACGGTTTACACTTACGGTTACGAGTAAGCTTACGAATACGACCGTAACCGTAGCCCGGTTACGGTCAGCAGTTTACGGTTACGAGTAATGTAAACGATTACGATCGTAACCGGAAAATAT